TCTGGGCAAGTTTCTGAGATTTGTTCTTCAGAATACATGCAAATTTGGAGATTTCTTACACTTTCCCTCAATGATGGAGTTAATAAATCAGGGTATCATCCCCCTTTTTATAGATGCAAAGATTTTATTTCCCTATAAAACGAAAGTAGGACACAATAAGATTAGTTAACATAATTGTCAAATTCAGAAAAAACTGTTCAAAAATTATTCTTCAATATCATAAAAAACAAACTTGTCCATCCATCAAAAGTATTCCCAAAGCAACAATTTGATCATCATCGTTGATGAAGAGCTTCTCCCAAACTTGTAAAATTCGCACCTTAATATTCCAAACACATCTGGTTGAACCATCAAGTTGAGCAATAGAATTCACCTTTGTGGACGTAGCTGTTTTAGGGGAGGAGTGATAGCGGCTTTATTTTTTCCGAAAATTAGATTAAATTTTTTTTTTCTCACCCAATTCACATATTTATAAGATGTACAGGCAGCGAATAATTAGGGTGTAAAGTGTGATAAAAGTTATGTGAACAAAATCGCAACGAATCATTGCTTTAAAATTGACGATCATAATATGGGAGCATAAGATATATACCTTACATAGAACACGCTTACGTTTTTTGGGGAGTATAAGATACATACCTTATATGGAACAAGCTTACGATCATAATATGGAAGTATAAGATATATACCTTATATAGAACAAGCTTACGATAATAATATGAATTTATTAGATATTTACCTTATTTAGAATAAGCTTACGTACAGATTAAAAATAACGTGAAGTAAAAATATGGATGATTATTAATTTAATTTAACCAACTTATAATTATTTTTTACACTTTAATGAAAGACCAATACATTTATTCCATGTGGCACAATATACTTACATTCACTCCCTGAACGACACGTCTTGATTGAAAACCTTACTTTAATATATATATAGAGAGAGAGAGAGAGAGGGAGAGAGAGAGATTTTTAATAATTATAAGAACATGATAAATATGAAAATAAATTTTCAAGATTTTATTTTTAATTAGAAAAATACATACATAAATGAAATTTACGAAAAAATCAAAATAACTTATAATAAAAAACGGAAGAAACATTTAGAAATCATGGAAATAGACAAAAATACTTTTTGATTAAATACATTATTGATCTCTGATATCTTTGATTTCATCTAGGAGTACTGTGCAAGTAAAAGTAATCCTAATGATATTACAGTTAATCTACTTTTCTTAAGTGATTTTTTCCCTTCCTTAAAGTATAGTGAACGATTTTGAATGTTAAAAAAAAGATATTCTATAAGAAATATATTAGAGTATAATATGAAATTGCTATAATCAATTAGCAAAAGAGACTTTCCATGCCTAGAATAAGACATTGGTTAGTGCTTCAAATTGGACAAATATGTAAGCCCACAAGCATCAGCTTCATTAATCCTATTCATTTATTTACATTAAAACACCAATTTCAACAAATACATATATACACAACTCCTAGACGTTTCTTTCCCTTTTCTTTCTTTTCTTTTATTTTTTCAAAACTCATTTCCATGAGGTCAACTTATAATTGTGAAAAAGATTTCGACTTATACAATTTCTTCCTTTGAATATGCGATAAAAATGACTTTTATATGAATAAAAATATTAATTATACATTTTTATCAAATGTTTATTACTAAAAAAGAACCATTTTATTATTGATAGTAACTATTTTTTTGAAAAGGGATAGTAACCATTTGGTTACCTATATTTGATTTGGTTTGCTAACTCTTTTTTTTTTTTTCCATTTGGGATTTGACAATTTTTCCATTTTACTTTTCGAATGTTCGCAGAAAATATTGCCAGAGCAAGGATATGTTAAGTGCACTCGGATCTTTGATCATTTTCCTGAAACAGCCTAATCAACATGTTTCTGTTTTCTTTGCAAAAGAAACATAAAATAAACAACATTTCCCCGAAGTTATTTCATTCACAAAAAACACCGTAGATCATAAAGCATTTAAAACGTATATGATTTTTAGTGTTTGAAGATCATGTATGATTTTTCATTTGATCACAACGTTTTTTTTAAAAAAAAAAATCATTTCCCCATTTTTCCTTTTTTAGTTACTTGAAGGATTTATAGTTGTTTTAGTGTATGTTTTAATTAATCAGTGCATACATAATTTGTACAAAGTCTTACGATTCATGTATAAAATAAATTTTAACAAATTTAAAATTTGATATGTTTTTTATCATAAATTTATATCAATAAAGCTCGCACATCGTGCGGGTTTAACACCTAGTATATTTAACATGAAAATGAATGTGAAAATCATGTGAAAGGACTATGTTACCCAATCTCAAATTACCTAATTATCTTACATGTTGAGTTCTAGTTAATTTGTATGGGGTACGTGCATGCTCTCTAATATCATATACTATAACATGTAAAGATTACAATATTAGTAAAAATAAAGGAATGGGGAACAAATCGGTAAGGAGATAATTCTACAATACTTTTACATGATAATTTTAACATATATATTGCGTGTTGTAAGAAAATTACAAGTCCTAAAATATTAATTTAATCACACATACATAATTCTCTATCTCAACAATGATTAGTATTTCAATATAGCATCCATTAAAGAAAAGATGAAAAGTTGTGATTGTTGGATCATTTGGAGAGGGGGAGGAGAGGGGGAATTGTACTGAAGGAGTAGGGCAGAAAACAAATGAGAAAAATAAAGTATTGCTAAAAATCTTTTATTACTCTTAGTAATTACCGTCTTTCATGATAATACCCCCTTTGGCTCTTCGGTAACGGTATTCTTTAAAATCTCAAATGTCATTTGATGTTTGGGCCTCTAAATCCAAGTCTGTCCGTAATATTATAAAAGATTCATTATCACAATTTAACTTACAAGAGGACGTAGTTGTCCACTTACTTCAGAAAGTGAAAATTCTTAAAATCAAGGGATCTTGTGATTTCCCTTAACAAAATTAACCATATTAGTAAATTTAACACAAAAAAAAAGATACTAATTTGCTTCTCCAAGAGCAATTCTATGTTATGAATCCAAAAATCTCGTGAATGTAAATTTATTCAATCATTGGAAATTTTTTAAAGAATATGTATTTTTTTATCACAAAAATTTTTCAACTTTTTAGGGTTCGTGATAGTCTCATAATTTATCTTGAGCAACGGTATTTCTTTGTATGACATGCTCAATCATTAGCCTTTTGCCCTATCGAGATAATTTTTTATATCATGTATTCCTATTTACCATTTCAAGTGACCAGTTTATATAAACATCATACTCTAATATATCAAAGTCCACTTACTTCAGGAAGTGAAGAAAATATCTTTGAATTTTTTCGTGAAATTGCTATGATGGAGCATATTCAATATACGAAAAATGTATAACAAAAATAGCTACTACATGAGCACTTGGTTGTATCCAATACTAAAATAAAAACCCAAACTGGACAATAATTATAGGAGGAAGGGAGTATTTTTTTCAATTGAGAGAAAAAAAAAAAGGTTGCATCCAATACTACAAAATTAATATTGTAGAAGTAAATTTGTTACAGCATATAGTATTCATGATAAATAATAAATTTCAACATTGTAATTAATATTTTCACACATAAAGACAAAATAAGAAAAAAAAATTAACCGCACTCCTTGATCTACAAACTTATCGCACTCCCTGGTTTATATATTAAAATCTTCTCGGTTAGATAGAGAGTAGTGCTATTAATGTGTTACAAAATAAACTAAAAGAATTAAGAGATATGAAACTGTAGAGAAAGAGCAAGGAGGAAGAAAACAAGTTGAGAGAGATAGAGAATTCATCTGTATATTAAGTTGCAGAGACTGATCTTATTTTATGGAGGAAATAAATACAAGGATGAGCGAAAACAATGATAAAATCTAACTAAATTGATCTCATTTAATAGAGAAGATAAATATAAGGATAAACGCAAACAATGATAAGATCTAACTAATAATAAAATCTAACTAAATATTATTTTTATGCATTTGATTACTTGTATAACTTTTCTGGCTCGTGGATATCTACATTAATAGATGTTTATAACAATAATGAATTAATAAAGTGCATGCTTTTTTTAATAATTACTCCTTTCTTTTCGAAATATTTCCTCAATTTGAATTTTAATTTTAGTTGAATTATTCCCGCCGGTCATTATCATAAGATATTTTGATTTGTACTTACCTAGTACTCCCTCTTTCTCAAAAATATTGTCCAGTTTCTGATTTCACTTTTTGTTCGATTTGAATAGAAATGAAAACCCAAACTGGACAATAATTATAGGAGGGAGAGAGTATGTTTTTTTCAATTAAGAGAAAAAAAAACCTTAAAAATATTTTTTAATTAGGAGAACACAATGAATATGAAAATATAGTTTTAAAGTTTTTTTCAATCGAAAAAATACTAGGTAAAACTTAAGACAAATCAGAACGTTTTATCCTCCCTTCATCCCAATTCAATAGTCTCACTTTCTTTTTTGAGATTTTCCAAAATGTAGTCTCATTTCAAACATTGACACAAATTTATTTAATGAATTCTCTAATATAACCCTACTACTATCGCTGAAATCTAGAATATTTAATTAAATCCAATTCTCAATCTCACCGTATTAACTAGCAACCACTAGTCATTAATAGGGGCATATTAGATAAATTATTCTAAATTAAATATTTAAGCTATATTACCTATTTTTTCTTAAACTCGGCATTTATCTTTTTTTTAAATCTCGATATTTATCTAAATGAGCCTATTAAATTGAAATCGAAAAAGTAATAAAGATTGAAAGGAGTATAATAAGAGTGAATTTTCAAATTGAACAAGACCTTAATGAAAAATTCATAGTAAATTTTTGTTTGTTTTATTTTTTTATGGTTTTTTTAAATTAATATATTAATAACTGTCTCATCTCAGCATACTTTTTTATATTTTCAAAATATAGTTTTTACATTCTCAATACAAAAAATACATAAAAACACACACTAAAAAAACAAAACAAACAAAGCCTTAAAGTTTGAGAAAGGGGTAAAAATAGTCGAAAAAACGGAGAAAAAAAAATAAAAATTGATCGTTCGTATTGGGAACCTTTCGGCCGGATCCCAACAAAACTCCGAAATACCAAAAGCATGATCGTCAAAGAGTGGATTGAACTCATCAATAGTCCACGCCCTTTCCCTCCTAATCTCCACAACCACCCCCCAAAAATCCTCCTCCCATGGCTGCCACCGCTACCGCCGCCGCCGCCGCCATCTCATTCCTGTCCTCCCGCCACAATGTGGCTCCCTCTTCCGCCACTTGCCTCTTCCTCCGTCCCTCGAATTCAACTAATTCACGTAATTTCCCCTCGTTTTCCATCAAATCTTTCTCTGCACCAACCCCATCGCCGCCCTTGACCCAAGATGAACTCAAGAAGATCGCAGCTGACAAAGCCGTCGAGTACGTCAAGAGCGGCATGGTCCTCGGCCTCGGCACCGGCTCCACCGCCGCCTTCGTCGTTGCCAAGCTCGGTGCCCTCCTCGCCAGCGGCGAATTGACCAACATCGTCGGCGTCCCGACTTCGAAGCGTACGGAAGAACAAGCTGCGTCTCTTAACATTCCGCTTGCCACTTTGGACACTCACCCCCGCCTTGACCTCGCAATTGACGGCGCCGACGAGGTTGACCCGAACCTCGACCTTGTCAAGGGCCGCGGTGGTGCTCTCTTGAGGGAGAAAATGGTGGAGGCCGCATCGGATAAGTTCGTGGTGGTCGTCGACGACTCCAAGCTGGTCACCGGTCTGGGTGGGTCAGGCTTGGCAATGCCTGTTGAAGTGGTACAGTTTTGCTGGAAATATAATCTGATTAGGCTTCAAGAACTGTTCAAGGATGAAGGGTGCGAAGCGAAATTGAGATTGGATGGGGATGGGAAGCCTTATGTGACGGATAATTCCAATTATATTGTGGATTTGTACTTTAAGAATCCCATTAAGGATTCAGCAGCTGCTGGGAAGGAAATTTCGTCATTTGAAGGTGTAGTTGAACATGGTTTGTTTTTGGATATGACTACGGCAGTGATTATTGCCGGAAAGAATGGAGTGGATGTGAAGAGCAAGTGATGTTTCCGGAGGTGAATTTCGAGTTATTCTCTGTATTCATGATTTGTATAACCTCTATTTTTTTGTGGATTTTTTCGGATATGATTTTTGGATCATTTTGTTTGTACCAACTCCTGTTTTTAGTTAAATGAAAATAAAAATGTGCATTTCTCTTATATTTCCCTACCCGAAAGAATGAATGGATTAATTTTTATTGAAACTCTGTCTTTGTTTTAGCATATGGGAACAGAAGTTGGAAAAATGCAAATGGAGTTGTGTTATGAATTCCAAAATGCTTGGTTCACTGTAAGACTCTGTTCCTGAGCAATTGAATAAATTTATTGTTATTCCCTCTGTCCTTAAGTAAGAGGTCTGTTTATCACACTGAAATAGGATGAAGGTTACTCTTCTTTTGGGATGGCGGGATGGTCGACTGTAGTTCTTACTGCAGTTGGTGATAGCAGAAGTTTGGTGATGCCTTTGATCCTTGCCAAACCTTCTTCAAGTAATCATCAATGTTGATGTGAGTTGAAAAGTTTTCTTGTTGAAAAAATCTCAGGTCGAAATCATTCTAGAACAAGTTCAACACACAAACGTTAGCTGCAAGATCCAAAACACAAATATGTACAATAGGTAATAGAAGCCCAGATTGAACGCACTTTCTCAAAAAGGTTCCAAAAGCCATCCTTGGAGAAACATCCAAATATCATTTTCCTAAGCTGAAGGGTCTTGTACTTGATGGTTGTGATTCGCTTGTTGCTGTTCCATAAACTTTAGCGTAAATTCCTTAGCCTTCTGTCTGTGACCCTTACCCTTAATCTCGGATGGTATCCTTTGGATGGATAATTCCTTTCTTGAAGCTAGAACAAGCCAAAAATGGCAACGAGAGCATCAACTTTAAACTATGTTTATACTCCCAAGGATTGAAGTTTTCAACTAATCCAGGAATGTTGTGCTCTTTGGCAGTTAAGTGAAGCAGTCTCTTGCATCACTTCTGCATGTACCTCTATGCTTCGAATTGTAATTACCAGAAATACCTGAATGAACTTCTTCTTTTAGGTTTTTTAATTTTTGTTGCTGCTTTTAGATGCCAATATGGACGAACCATCTTTTTGCAGAAGAATTGAGAAGCTCTATTGAATCATGAAAATAATGAGGCGCCAAATCTTGAAAATTGTTATAGTTGTTTTTATCTTGTTCGTGTGTATCTTTCATTTCCCTTTTCTGCAGTTTTTGTTATGTAGTACAATGAATCTTGGCTTTGAATTAGCACTTTAGCCTTTTAAATTCTTTCTATAAATTGATCCCAATTTGGTGTCCCTTTCTGCTTCCCAATCCAATAGACATTCTAGTTCTCTATTTCATATCATATCTCATATGATAATTATATAGTACCTTAATTTCCAAGAAATTATGGTTATCGTAATTCCAGTTGCTTTGTAGCAAGTTGATTTTAGATTTTCTGATAGAGTTAGAACACAGTTATCTTCACTGCCATATGATCACTCACTGGTGCAGAAAAGCCACAAAAAAGTTGAAAGCCTCAGAGTCAACTCCATTTTCTGAAATGGTTGAGATGGTTAATCCTGATTTGGGAAAACAGTGGACTGGTTGAATGTAAATATAAGTTATTTGGAGACACTAGTAGATGATTGGTATGCTGCTGTACCACGTCAGAAACAAGTTCTCATACAGACTGATAAAGTCTTGAAAGTTTTAGTTCATTTCTGGAGAATCTAGTGCAATTTCGCTGTTTGGAATGGTTCTGTGTAGAATAAGATATGGGTGCGTAGATGAGATTCTCGAAAAGTCTCTTCTTTGACGTAGATATATATGATGAACCTGGAGAAAATTTCTTTATCCATACTGAACTTTATCCATAATGAAGATGCTGCTATCGATGCTGTGTAAATCCATGCTAAGTTTATACTTGAAAGCTAAGGTTCTCTCTCTGTCCCATATGCAGCAAATCTGTGCTAAGTGTATTCTCTCTCTGTCCCATGACATACACGGCCTGATGTCAGGTTTCAAGATTTCTTAGAAATAAGAAAGTGTATTCTAGCAGATATTCAGGAGCAAATTCACTATTATCAATGTTTAATTTGCCAAGGACTAATCAATCAGGCTTTTGTAGATCATTTATCTAAAACTGAAGGACTAACAACATTCCAATCTGAACCAACTTTTAAGAGTCACTGCACAAACTCTTGAGGGAGGACTTGCCCAAGATCCATGTTGGAGACATTGAAGAGCTGCCTCTTGGACAGGGGAAATCCAAGCTCCCTGGGATCATATTTTGGTGGCGGCTAATTAGGTAGGATATCTTCATCAACCACCTACCACCTTGTTTTTTGGTGATCTTCCATACTGTCTTTCAGTATCATTTAATTCCATTATGAGAGATGTTTGGCAATATGAAACTGAAATTTGACAACAGAAGGCCATAAATCAAGCTCGAAGACAAGAAACAAAGTAATTACAGCTCAGTCTTGAGACATAACACAAAGCTCGCTCGCTAATGCGGTAGGCTTCCATGGTAAGGAAAAATCAATTATAGTCAGCAGCAAAGCAATTGAAGCCTGGATTAGGAAAGACCACTTTGGCTGCGAAAGTCAGTATCATTGTGTTTTTCAGTTTGCGCATGGACTACTGTGTCACATCAGTAGTTGAAAAGATAGTGTTCCCCATTTTAACTCAAATTAATCCTGTCAAATTTTCTAATATCAATGAAACTGTTTCTGCACACGGTGTCCCAGAAAAGTTATGGAAGAGTTTGTAAGTTTGAACTTATGTCATCGTGTTGGATGATGTATGGGATCCTGAATCATGAAACAGTTTGAAAGAAGCATTCCCTGATGATGATAAGGAAAGTAGAATCGTGCTAGACCACTCAATGAGGAAGAAATTATTTGATGGGAATGGCCGGGTGCTGCATTAGATGATATCAAAATGCAAATCGCCAAATAGGGATTACCTTTGAGATTTGTCAGTATAGCCGGACTCCTAGTAACCAAACAACCAGAGGGTTGGAAGAAGATTCTTGATGGTCTAAGCTCAGGCAACATATCAAATTCAGATCCATCGAGGAACAGCGGCAAGCTCAGTTACAAACATTTACCAGCGCATTTACGGCCATGCCTACATTAATTTTCAACTTTTCCAGAGTGCATCAAGAGGCCATTTCATTTATTGATGGCTCGAGTCTTTTTCAGAGTTGAGATGAAGTGCGTAGAAATGTTCTCAGCATTACCTACCTGGAAGATTTAACTGGTAGAAGCTTAATTATAGCAACGGAACAAAGATGGGATGGTTGAGCAAGAGTATTTTTTTTGTAATCATGACTTACTTCACGGTTCTGCTCTCAAGAAGCAAAAGATGAATGTTTTCAAATAGTTTCTGGAGTCTGCAGAAACTGAAGCTTCTTAACATAAGGAGATCATCTTGTGTTCTGCCATGGAAAATCTTGACAGACAGCTCATCTGATCTGTGAGTTGAACAGAGTTTCTTCGGGTCAAGTTTAGTCCTTATCAGTTATCAGGGCAACATAGATGGATCATGAAATGAAACAAGCAAATCATGAAAAGGTTCCGAACATCTGTAAGTTGAAACGCACACTTACGTTCCTTTATAGCAGATCTGATCAAGATTTTGGCTCCTGAATGTTTGCATCAATCAAATCAATTTATTTATTGAAGGATTATATGGACCCCAGGTTTACAATGCATGGATTTCAGTTCGCCAGCAAATCTGAAGAAATCGACATTGTTATGCTTTAATTTCTGCGAAAGGAGTCTTTTAACTATTGGAAAACTGCAACACCAGGATGGCCTCTGTCTAATCAGCATGTACATTGAAGGGAAGAAATGGAGAAGGAAGAGAGTATTCTATTCCTGATTTGCCAGACTCGAGGCTTCTCCCCTGGGGTGGTGCTGAGGAATGAGGATCAATTTAATTGTCTTGAAAAGCTGGTAGTGGATAGATATCATATGTCGGAAAATATTTCTTCCCCTCTAGAATAGAGTACTGACACTTCAAATGATTGAGTTCTCCTATTCTTCGGATGCAGAAACAGTGAAACGGATTAAGTACAGAATGATTCTGAAAATCATTGTTCAACCATATGATGATGTTTCTGCATCTTTCTTCGCTGGATTTGGAAGAAATGATTGAAAACAGCAGTTCAAAACCGCTGCTAATCTTCTCTATAATAAACGTTTATAATTTTTTTCTGGAGTCATTACGGCTGCAGACCTGCTGTTGAAGCGGTTCATTTCTTGATAGAATCGAATGGAAGATTATACTTCTATTTTAAATTCTGCAGACTTTGATCATCCCAATGCTGCAGTGAACCTAAAATCTTTTGAATGCATCTTAATCTTATATATCACTTTCCAAGGCTATGCTCTGAGTGTTATTTATAAAAGTTGTCCAATAATGCTACTGATGCATTGAAGAAGGTATTTTCCAGTATCCTATAAAACACAATGGCAAAAATCAGATGCATCAAAATTAGAATTAATGAACTATCACACCAACTGCCAACCAAAACCCTTGGAAACGTCCTTAGGAAATTTTGCCCGGACGGACAAGCTTCTAGATGTGGAAGTGTCAAACAAACACTAATCATCTTTCCTCCATTTGGTTTTTACTGGCTGACTAAACTGTCTGCATTACAGGAACAGTAGCTGGTCTTGTTTGTTTTTAAGAACGTGGGCAACGTCACTCCTCTAACTTTGAGATGACCCTGCGCTGTTTATGCCTGAACTTGATCAGACAAATACTCTTTAGTATCATTGTTTATTTTGAACTGAATCGACACATCTATTGATGTTTGCCCTAGAATAAGTAATGAGAAATTGAATTTGCAGTCACATGGGAAGCCATCAGACATACTAAATCTTTGGCAAGAGAGGAAAATGAAAGTGTTTCGACCAATAAACCAAACCAAACCTAAACTGTTTTGATTACCAGCAAACTAGAGCCTGTCAGACATGTATATGAGATCTGTACTTGTTGAAAAAACAAAAAAGTAAATACCAACAGATAATAATTGAACAGAACATAAAATTCTTCCTGATATGTAAAATGGCCAACCCAGAAGGAAAAAAGCCTAGCTGCCAAAGACATGAGATCATCTAGGAATCAAATTTTAAACAATCTCATTCACAGTTATGAAAAACCTACCTGTTGCATTCAAACTGCAAAACTGACTTTAAACAATAAAAGCTCCAGAAATAAATAGAAAGCTTGATAGTTTTGTATCGCACTTAAAATCCAATGAGGCAATGAATTATCCTCATTTTTGTACCTACAACTCAAAACCAGCACAAAAAATATCACAATCGTATCACGAGATCAAACTGTCAATATCAGACTGAAGTATTCATATCAAATTACAAGCAAAAGCTTAGTAAAAGTTGCCATAAAGGGTCATTTCATTTCTAAATCTATGTTATATCAATTGAGAGTGAACATGCTCCTGGCTCAATATGGCAATGAGAATACAACAGGAAAATTGACGTTTTAACTTAAACAGGACTTCCTAAATGTTCCAAAAAAAACTGAATGACAAAATTGGTGACAAAGAACGAGCACATTTCATCTTCATTCCTGCATTGAAGGCTTCTTTTTGCTCTTAGATTTAACAGGGATATTCCCATATGCCATAGACCTTGTATGTGATATTTTAAGCTCTTTCTGAGCCTGAGCTTGACGACGTCTTCTCTTAGCTCTCCTAGAGGGGCTGCTGGCACTAGCATTCTTTTCAACCTGCTGTTCTCCCGAGACAAAACTACCAGGAGAACTAGATTTCTCTGCAGTGGTCTTCACCTTGTGCTTGTCGGATTTCCTCACATTTGATACCCCTTGTTCGGGATTCTTGATCTTCTGTTTTTGCTGAAGTATCTGAGTTCTTGGAACCTTCCATTCCTTTTCCCTATAAGGAGCCAGCTTCTTTATAGACACTACTTGATTCAACTCCTTATCATCCATGGCTAGAACCTTAGTTGTATTCAGTCCATAATTTTTTGGTTTGACAGCTCTGTATTTGAATCTGGTTTTCAAGTCACCTATTGTGTCTTCATATTCCAACTTATGAAACTCTTCCAACAACTGCTCTGTAACAGCCTTTTCAACCTCACTGAGCTTTCGCTTGCGCTTTTTCTTACGCTTACCGTCTTCACCATCTTCAGGCACTTCATCTTTACCTTCCGCTTGTGGTTCATAGTGATTATCTACATCCTTGATCTTTTCCTTCAAAATTCTTTCCCTGGCAGCTGAGAACCCATCAGTGGTACCATTTACATTTTCCCAACCCTTCGAAAGTCCAAGCAACTCATCTTCTTTTTCAAAATCAGGCTTCTCAAGCTCATCTCCATCTTCATCATTTTCACTTCCAAAACCTGGGTCAATATCCTCGGCTTCGTAATATGTCTTATTATATGCTCTCTCCATCATCTTATCAAACTCATCTGGATCAAATTCCTCCTCCAAGTCATCCTCCTCCAAAAGCAAAGAACCATCTTCACCAATCCCAGCAGCTTGACGAATCTTTCTAAGCTTCTCCTTCATCTCCTTTCTTTTCACATTCTTCAAGTGCTTCAGCTCCTCTTTCATTTCAAACTTAGCTTGAGCCATTCTCTCCTCCTTCCTCTCTCTTTGCAACTTCCTTGTATTCGACTTCTTCCTCACTGAACCTTCCACTATTCTTGAATGACCTTCTACTCTATCTCCCGCATTCTCCTCAAACCTAAAATTATATTCTCTCTCGTAATCCTCCTGCCTCTCAATCTCCTCTTCATCCTCCGACACGTCTATCTCGGAACCCCCCTCATTACCCAACCCCGTCTTATTATCACCAGCCTCTAACCACATTCTTTTCCTAAAGTAATCCTTCAGGAAAATGTTATTCTCATCCAAGCAGCCATCAGGACCAAAGTACTTATCCAACTTAGCTACAAACCCATCATCCTCCTCCTCATCATCACCACCCTCAACACCTTTACTACTCTTCTCCTTCAACAACTCCCCCCCGTCCCCATCCACCTCCTTCAGTGCTTCCAAAACGCCCTGCCTCAACTCCTCCTGCTCCTGCACGTGGCTTTTGACCTTCTTCTCCTCCTTGTTCTCCGTAACATCATCTTCATCATCTTCATCATCATCATACTCCGGCCCCTTCTCAATCAAAAGCTTAGACATCACATCTTTCAAATACACTGGCTTATGTTTCTCTTTCTTACCATCTTTTTTCAACTTCCCCTTCTTTTCATCATTTTTATCATCAGTATCCATAGCATCATCAGAACCATCACTATCATCATCAGTTTCAGATTCACACTTAAATAACTTAGCTTCTTTATCTTTTAAGATGGGGTCTCTTGACTTAACCTTAATTAAAGCATCAAAAAATTCCAAATCTTTCTTCTTACCTTTTACCTCTTCCTCCACTTCTTCTCCTGACGAGGAAGAATCATCTGAGTCCGAATCGGAATGTAAAGAGATAACACCTTTCTTCGCCAACTCGGCAGCCCTCTGCCGCTCCTCCCGCTCCTTGTTGTACTCGAAACGGCGGGCAAATTCTCGGTCAATTTCAATCTTGTCGGCCTCTCCATCTGAGCCGCCGTCGTCGAACAGTTTCAGACCCATCAATAATTTTTTCAGTTGAACTTCTGGGGTTAGATTAGGGTTTAAGGGAAAGAGGGATTTCTTAGGTTTAGGTTTCGACGGCCGCCGACTGATAATGTAACTAACAAGAATAAAGCAACCGGAAAATGAAATGTGTTGGGCTGACCCATAACTTATAAACTGGATTGCTTTTCGCAGCTGAAAAACTTACTCATTTACAGCTGACTGGACATTTTTGCCCTTCTCCTTCTCCCATTTCTTTCTCTTCCTTCCTCCTTTCTCATTCTTCTCCTTTCTTCTTCTTCACATTCAAACCAAAAACCCAATTTAAACTTAGATTTACAAAGATTCAAGACTTAAAAAAATGACGGATTAAGACAAACAACGTCAGGAAAGCTCGCCCCGTGCACCAGTAAATTTATTTTTATCAAATTTGTTATCAAAAAATTCAAAAAATAAAAAATAAAAATCTGATTCCAAGGACCGGCTACCCCCTTTTGAGTAGCCCCCAGCCGATCGGTTAGCCGGGAGAAGGTAGCCGGTCCGAGACCAGCTACCTTTGGAAGTGTAGCCGGTTGAGTAGCCCCTGGCCGATCGGCTAGCCGGAGAAAGGTAGCCGGTCCGAGACTACTCAAATAAATAATATCAAATTTGAGTAGCCCTCGGACCGGCTACCTTTCCCCGGCTAGCCGATCGGCCGGGGGCTACTCAAAAGGTGGTAGCCGGCATCGTAATTGTTTTTTTCTTTTATATTTGATTGTATTTGTTATATTTTTTTATTGTATTTGTTTTTATTTTATATTTGATTGTATTTGTTATTATTATTTTTAGTTTTCAATAAATAGTTTTAATTATATTTTGTTATATATATTATCCATTATATTTTATTTATTGGAGTTCATGTTATTATAATTTAAATAAATTTGAATAAGAAGTATAAATTAGAAATTTAAAAAATATATATATATAGTTTTAATTATTTTAGTTGTTATATTTTTAATAATTATGGCATCTTTTAATTTATGTATTATAATTATTGCATTAATAATTTAAATAGGTTATAATTTAAAGATATTATAATTATTTTCATTTTTTACTACAGCTGTTATATTTTAATAAGTAGTTGTTATATTTTATATTTTAAAATATTAGAGCAAGTTTTATTTTTAAAAGGTTATAATTAGAAGATGTTATTATTATTTTATTATTTGATTTATGTGTAATTTATGTGTTATATTAATTTTTATGTGAATTATAGTAGTAGTATATTTATATGTTAATCAATGTAGGTTAAAAAGAAAAAAGACCGAAAAGACCAGTTGTACATGATTCTACGTTGAGCATTGGGTCTGGTCCATGGAGATTTGACGAGACATTTGATCAGGCTAGTCTGGACCGGGAGAATGTTATTGACGAACAAAATATTCCATTCGAGAATTTCGACTCGGATGGGTTTGATGATTTCGAAGATGACACACCACCTCTAGTTAACACACCTCCATCTCCAACTCCAGTTAGATCTCCTCCTAAAATTAGATGCCTTACTATTCGTCATGGGGGCAGTAAGTCTGCGGCTGCATCATCATCATCAGGTAAAATATTTAATTTTTTAAATATATTATAATATTTTTAAATTTTGAATTATTAAAAAAAATGTATGATTTATTTTGAATTATTTCAGTGAGCAGTGCCAATTGGATTGTGACGGAGCCAGTTAGGGGTGGCCCTCAGGACGGTTCTGTTATTCCCAGTTTCCTTGGGCATGTGGCCAATCTCTTCACAGACAATTCGCGCAAGAGTCCCTTAGATATGGATACAAGAATGACATACTTCCAGAAATTGAAAGATTGGAAGGATTGTATGGGGCAACAGGGGAAGAATTTGTTGGAGCATACAAGGTTGTCCCACATTGCAGGCATCATGCACCACAACATTGATAGGGCACTCATTACAGCATTTGTGGAGAGGTGGCAACCGGACACCAACACGTTCCACATGTCTTTTGGAGAGATGACCATCATGTTGCACGATGTGCGTTGGATATTGGGCATTCCCATTGATGGTAGATTGAGTACAGCACAGCCTGAGGTTAGTGATTGTCATAATTTGGCCACGAGAATGTTGTTATTGCCTCGTGAGGTTCTAACTGATAAGAAAGCTAATATATATCAGAGTGGGGGGATTCAGGGGAAGGATGTCCTGACTTATTGCCGTATTGGACGGTCTGCTCGAGATCAGGCGATTGCATGGTTATGGCTCATGTTAGGGAACGCGTTGTTCACGGATAGGAGCGGAACTCGGATTAGAGTGGCGATTCTCTAAGTGATTATTGATGACCTAGCCACTTGTCACAAGCTTTCGTAGGGCTCTGCTACTCTAGCCTATTTTTATTGCCAGCTTGGCGTGTCCACCAGAGCACAAAATGCCTCATTCTCCGAGTGTTTCACACTCATTCAGATGTGGATATATGAGTACTTTCCACGCTTCAGACCAGGTGGGGATCGTGCCTCAAGGGATTCTGCAATGTCCCCTGCTGGATGGTGGGATGTCCCAGTTCCTGATAATAGCAAAAAGCGTCTGAAGAGGCTTCGGCGGGAGATCGATGGCCTGACAGCCACGGATGTATGTCACATTTAGCAATCTTGGTTATGAATTATTATGGAAAATATCATTGTTTACATTTCTTATGTTTTTTGTGTAGGTGACATGGTTGCCTTATGGACTCGATCCTGTTCATGATGATCCGAGGACCTTCTACAATGGTTGGATACAGTACCGAGATATTATTGAGCCATACTTGCCTGCACGAGTATTGCGCCAGATTGGGTACGTCCAGACCATTCCTCCACCTATCCCTCATCCCTCGGAGCAATCTCGTTGTGGTAAACCCAAATTGTACAAGGTTATATGGTCACGTACTATTGCGTTAGATGCTTGGGCTCAATTCCCGTTAAGTAGCAAGCTCGATCTACGCGAGTTACATCCGAGTGATAGAGATGTGACTGCTTGCGTAGAGGGTTACATGGACTGTTACTTTCGAGTTTCGCATCCTCTGCTTGTTTTGGATCGCGCTACTGTTGGGACTTCAAGAGCTGGAGTTGGAAACTTATCTCACGCAAGTCTTTTGTCTATTATAAGGTTAATAAATTTAGTTATGATTTGTTTCATATAATATTAATTTGTTTTTCTTATTTTTATTATGTATAGTGGATCCAACGATTGTCTTTGTTACATGGAAACACACTAGCTCAATTGCGCAGATGGGATCCGGAGTATGCCATGGAACATGAGGCATTGCTTGGTCAATTCTGGGCGGATTTTGATGAGAGCTATTGATGTGTATTTGACAAACTGGATTGTGTTAGACGCCTTATTATGTGTTACCTATTGGATTTTTATTTGACAAAGTGATGTGTATTTAATTAGGATATTGTTTGTCACTTTATTGGATTTTTATTTGATTAAGTTATGTGTGTTTTATTGATTTGTATGTAAAGAATTCATTTTCTCTGGAATAAATAAAATTTAAATAAATAGATAGTAGCAAACTAAAATAAATTCTTTTGATGACAAAGTCAGCTACTGGCTTGACTCCATGGACATAGCCGGTCCCAACCTGCTACCCTATCCAGATACATATGATCCCATCCAACAACACTGTTATCGGCAAAGTCATACCAATGTGGATGTATACGAGGTACAGGGAAATTACCAACTACCTCAGCACAAATGTAGAGGTTAGCATGTCCAAGGTGAATAAGCACAATCTCACGAGTAGGTCCTGTGGCGCTGTCACGAGCATGAAGGGGCAACACTGTTTGACAATAATAGTTCATATTCCCATTCAAGGCAGGTCCGAGACCGTACAGGAAAACTGTCACATTCCAGATAGTAGCAATGGCAAACAAGTCTGTGTTCTCCATCCAGTGAGGTCGACCACACCCACCCTTCTCCCACATTATCCGTCTAGCAGTGTCCATTCTCTTTCCGTAGTATACAGCATCATACAAAGCAGGCACTGTAAGAACATCACTAACAATCACTGCTCGGACCCACGGCCATTCCTCCTGTGTGCCTTTGATATATTCTGCCACACAACGGAACCCACAGTTCCCATCTGGCTCCACATCAAGGTATCTCTGAATGTAGGAAAGCATAAAATATGGAACAGTGGCATCTTATACCTGTTTGTTCCGTAAGTAGTATCCATACCAATGTACCACTAGTACACTCTGAGCATCTGTACAGATACTGGATGTGCCAAAAAAATATTACTCAACACACTCGATTCATGCTCTGGACGAATCACATAGCCGTGTTCCTTAGCTACGTAAAAAAACTGCTCCACCAAAGTCCTATCCTCAAAGCTCTCCAATCGCAACCTACTCTTGTAGTTGTAAACTTGTTTGGGAACAACGTAGTCATCAGGACATTCCTCATTAATTCGCTTCACTATTGCAGCCGGTTTTCCTCCAAACCTCACCATTTCCCTAATAATTTCCTTCCCTTTATCACTTATCCCGCTCATCTACCTCTGCCCTCCCTAAATGTACCAAAAGGGTGGTTATGCCTACTCATAAGACCTCTACGAGTACGAATGTCATATGACGTACCATCCTCCCGCATTTCGGCTATAAGTTGGAACTGACATCCACAACACTTGGACTTCGTACTTCGCCCCTTGTTCTCTGTCTCTCTTGGGGAAACTCCCTTTGTACATCTCAATAATTTTGAATCATGACTTCTCCACGACGCAATAACAACCTCAAAATCAAGAGTTTTCCCAGTCTGTTTCGCCCATTCTATAGCATCATGAAGAGTATCGAATCTAATGCGAGTCTTGAAATAAGAACTATAGTCAATACCATCACCACCATAATCCTGTAATGAAACATGATGAAATTTCACAAACTTAAATATATACATAAAAAAATAAATACACAATTAAGTATATTAAATTATGTAAAACACACCTAGTGAACAATTTATAATTTAAATTTAATTACCTTAGATGATAGTCAATTAACACTATATTAAATTTCATTTACATAAATAATATTATTTAAATTATATTACATTTATTACACACTAACAGTTATATAATACAAAGATGTAATTACCACTACAAAAAATTTTAATCTACATAAACAATCATTATTAATAATACTTATATTTTAAAAAATTAAATAAAAAATCTAGACTATAAAGATTGATAGTATTCATTCAAACAAACTAATTGAAACAAAATCCACTAACTACTCAAACAATCCAATAATAATGAAC